GAGAACCATTCTATCTGTCTGGCCAAGAAATGCCCCTTTCCTGTTTTTGCTCCCCATCTGTGATCATTTAACATTTTGTTATGAGAAAGATTGGAAACCTGGTCTAGGCCTCTTTACACTGGTCTATTGAACTCCCAAGAGATCAATATATCAAAAGGTCTATCAACCAGGAAGCCCGTGTTTGGTGGTGTGTACATTAGGGTGGATTTACTGGAGATATTATAAAACAAAGAAACCATGTGAGATATATTATCTCACATACAATGTGTAATACAGGGTAGGAGAGACTTTACAAGAACTTGGTTTCAGAAAGGAGAAAGATTCAGAGGTACAATAGCATTGAGAACATTCTGGATTGGGTTTGTTTACTTTGTATTTCAAATCAGCTGTTCAATCACCATCTGGAGGAATGGAGATATGTTTGACATAGGTACATCAAATTTCTATTTCTCTAATGGAACGATCAATCTCCTGAGAGAGTGATAGCCCTATGAAATAATGTTATAGATAGTGCAATCTAGAAGTTGTCCAGATAATAATAAAAAATTCGTAATCCTATTGGAAGTCTTGTTCTTGTTAGTTGCAAAGTCGTGTCTGACCCATCACGACCCCATGGACAACGTTCCTTCAGGCCTTCCTGTCCTCTACCATCTTCTGGAGTACATTTAAGCTCATGCCTACTGCTTCAATGACTCCATCCAGCCACCTCATTCTCTGTCGCCCCCTTGTTGTTGTTAGTTGCAAAGTCGTGTCTGACCCATCACGACCCCATGGACAACATTCCTCCAGGCCTTCCTGTCCTCTACCATCTTCTGGAGTCCATTTAAGCTCACGCCTACTGCTTCAATGACTCCATCCAGCCACCTCATTCTCTCTTGTCCCCTTCTTCTATTGCCCTCAATCTTTCCCAGTATTAGGCTCTTCTCCAGTGAGTCCTTCCTTCTCATTAGGTGGCCAAAGTATTTGAGTTTCATCTTCAGGATCTGGCCTTCTAAAGAGCAGTCAGAGTTGATCTCCTCTAGGATTGACCGATTTGATCGCCTGGCAGTCCAAGGGACTCGCAGGAGTCTTCTTGGAAGTGTTACACAGCAAATAGCAGAAATTATGAGATGTATCCTGAACATCTCCCTGTTCTATGTTCAAGAAGATTGTTAGCTGGTAAAGCCAATAGGCCATTTACCATTCACTGCCTGAAAACACCCTGCATCGAATAGGCTTAGGATAGCAGCACTCCCTAGGTTGGTTACTGAAGGATGATAAAGGTAGGCCAGTGTTTGTCAACTTTGGCAAATTTAAGATATATGAACTTCAATTCCCAGAATTCCCCAGTCAGAAAAAGACTGCACTCCTAATCTCTATGTAATCATCTTTTCGAATTGGGGGAATGCCTAAAATCTCTTCTGAGTTTATATAGATTATATCTGCACTTCAGATTGGCCACGCTTGTCATAGAGCATCAAGCAAGCAAAATAAAGGAAGGTTGGAAAAAAGAGATAAACAAGAGCCAAATTGGAAGCAAGCAAAACACCACATAATTCCATACTTAGCATCAGGGAATTGGAATACAAATACTCAACTGATCAAGCGTACAGTGTAATAAAACTGGATGAAGTTTTTATAGTAGAAATGAAAAAAAAAATACTGAGGGATATTGAAATGCTGAGATCAAAAAGGGTTAGTTCTACAAAAAAGGGGAAAAGATGTAATAATTTAAGTTATGTAGAAGAAGAAATACATAAAGAATTACAAAAAAATAAAATCAAAGGATGAACCAAAAGAAGCCTATTTCAAATGAATCTTGTTCCTCAACTTGAAAACATCCATGGCGAAAAAGATAAAAGCGAGGCACATTTTTAACTGGGAAGATGTGGGGAATGGAAACATAATGATCTTATTTATCTGAATACAGTCATTAACAGTAACACATGAAAGAAAGTTCACAGGAAATAAAGAGAGAGTCAAGAACAAATGTTGTGGAAAGCCGTTAGAAAAAAAAATGGAAATACTAATGGAAAGAAAGGAAAGTTTAGAGAGTTAACATCTGGATTTTTGTTTGATTTGGCTTAATTTTTTTTAAATGCACAGTGTAAATACACAAAAAGTGTATGTGATTAGCAATATACAGCACATACACAGGTCCCAAAAGCAAGAAGTCAAATGATTTGGGGATTTATTGAAGAAAAGAATAATTAAGACGGAAAGCTTTCACAGTTACATTAATATGCTTTCCTGCCTTCCTTGAGCTGAGAAGAAAGCACATTGGCATAAATGGAGCTATCCCCATTGCCTACCTTAGTGGTTCTCAACTTTGGCAACTTTAAAATGTATGGGTTTCAACTTCCAGAATTGGCATGTTGGCTGGGGAGTTGAAAGGCATACATGCTTTATATTGAATTCTTGACTTTGCAATGAAAACACGATCAAGCTGAAGTGCAGATTAAATCAAAGCCTGGAAGATCTTCCAATTCCCCCAATTCATGGAGATTAGGAGTACAGTCTTTTTTCTGCTAGGTTGAAGAGAGGCCAGCTTTCTCTATCCCAGCAAGAAAAGTGTGTGTGTGTATGTGTGTATGTGTGTGTTTGTAGCAATAGCACTTAGACTTATATACTGCTCCATAGTGTTGTTTTACAACACACTGAGTGGTTTATAAATGTTGGCATATTGTCCCCAGCACTCTGTTACCAATCTCAGAAGGGTCGAACTCCTGGCTGTGGACAGAGTTAGCCTGCAATGCTGCATTCTAACCACTGCACCACCACTATATCATATGTATATTCACATGTATGAATATATATACAGACACACACATATGTATGTGTTCACAAAGGCATGAATATGTGCACATGCTCTACATTCTTCTCATAGCTATCTTCTTCTCCTACATCCTAAGGATGCTCTATCCTCCATATGCCAGACACCACTGGCTATCAACCCCATCCCAAAAGACCATCAAAACTGGAGAACTACTAACAATCAAACCCATATTTACAGGGCACTCCAAATATACCTATCCAGAAATTCCACTGTTTCTCTCAGGTAAGTGGCTAATGGCGTGTAGATGCACATTTCTTGTTCCTTTTTTTTCTGATATATTTTAGTCCTTGTCCCTCTGAAACTCAAAAGGTATCATTTGCTCCATTTTTTTCTCCTATTATGTCTCATTTTGGGATGACATGTCTTTTGATGTTGGAATACCTGAATCAGTTTTTTTTTTTTTTAAATTGCTTCTCAAGATGCATTTGTACTCTCTGGCCCTTTACATATTAGCTAATTTTCTTCCATCCCCTTTCTATTATGTTTCCTTTCCTTTCTTATTTTTCTTTGTTCGTGAGATTATAAACCGGCAGCAAGGCTTGCTGATTTTCACCTGCTGCATAGCATTTGTTTTGAAAGCACTTTAGAAATTATATTATTACACATAATAATAAATCTTAAACATGAAGTTCACACCCTGGTAAGTGCACACAGGATGCTAGCCTTAGTCCCACCAGGGCAATTTATTTTTAAAGCGATTCAGTTCAACATAAATGCTGTGATCATCTCACATTTAACACTTGCCCATACAGCAGAAGTCTAATCTAATTTCTCATTGTTATACAACAAAAGTCTGATCTAATTCTACCTTGCTGGATCAAGTCACAAACAAGGTAATCTACATTCTGGCTAACCTCAGAAACAAGAGTTTGACTTTCATCAACTATTATTTATGAAGTTGAGAAAGAGTTCAGGGTTGAGTGCTTCTCTAGCATATAACTTCAAATTTTCATTTCTGGCTGATGTAAAAGTGTCCTCATTATGTCTGGACCAAGCAGGAAACAATTGGCTTAACATCAGTACAGTAAGCATTTAAATAAGTGCCTTGTTTTTATACAAATTCGCACAATATTCCCCATGCTCAGTTTCTAAAAGAGAACTAAAACGACCTCCTTGGTTCATTTTTAAGGTCTCAACCTGCAATTTCAATAGCAAGTCTTAATATTTATTAGAAGCAGGTTTAAGGGATATATTGAGCATAGTTAGGATGAGCAAATATAGCTAAATTTATATGTGGATAGAGATGAGATTTTTAATTATTTTTTCGGGATTTCTGAGGGAAGAATTCACACCCCCCCCACAAACACACACTTTTTTCCTCCTTTTCTTTGACAAAATTAAGTACCTTTGTAAGGTACATGTATTTCTGCATCAATATATAATAAACTGAACTGAGGATTTTTGGCAACTGCATGGTCAAAATGTGATGGTATGGGCAACAATGCCAGAGAGAGAGAACCACTGATTTGAAAGAGGGGTCAAAGAGGCCATCTATGTCAAAATTGAACAGCCCTCTCTCAACAGAAGGGGAGTGATACCATCTATCTCCTGTCTACAACATAGCAATTGTAGACATTCAGCAGTTCCAAGAAGGCTCATTTGCACTGCTCAGGTGACCAGAAAAACCTCCAAGTGGTCTCAACGACTCTCTAAAGGAATGCAAATGACCAGCTGTCTGCAAGGAATATAAATCCTTCAATTCCCCACTATCCAGTCAGAACTGAAGAAGCTTCTTGGATGAGAAGCAAAACGTATTCAGAGAAAAACCAGAAAGTCCAGTTGCCTCTTGAAAAAAACACCTTTGGGATGCTGGAGACTACAAAAATTAATCCTGGGCCACAAGTTTCCCATTCATTTCTAATGAATATGAAACCCGCCGACAATCTGTGCAGAATGCACATGTTTACTATAGCAATAGCACTTAGATTTTATATACTGTTTCACAGTGCTTTATAGCACTCTCTAAGCTGTTTACAGAGTCAATATATTTTCTGCCAACAATCTGTGTCCCCATTTTACCAACCTCAGAAGGATAGAAAGCTGAGTCAACCTTGAGCTGATCAGGATCAAACTGGTGGCAGTCAAGGGAATTAGCCTGCAATACTGGATTCTAACCACTGCATCAGTAAAGGCTGACAAAGAGCAAACTTAAAATGCAATAAAAGCTACAGAATAGTTTTCTTACCTATCAAGGCTTCAAAGCAGTTGGCCATTGCATGCCGCAGGTCTGACTCTCTGCATAAATCAGGTCCATGAGCATAAAGCATAAAACGATCCAGCTCCAGTTTCTACAAAACAGTGACACAGGTTATTTTGTAAAATGACAGATGTCCGAAAGAATGCACCATATGCATCATGAAGAAAGACAGGCACAAACAGGATTATGTATGGATTTCTAGGGTGATCTTTTTCAAAAAGAAGGTCAAATGGAAAATATATCGTGAGCCAGAGACATGCTTAATTGACCTGTTTGCTTGCACTAATTATTATAATTTGCACGATGTTTTGATGAATGTAGTGGATGCTAAACTAAAACTGGCAGAAATGCTGCATTAATCTCACAGTATTCCAAGCGTTAGGTTGAGCCTCTAAAATGTTTTTAAATGATGGATAACAACATAGTGGGGTTGAAATATAATAAATACAAGCCTACTTTTAAATTTGTCTCTTTTGAGTCTCATTTCCTAAGTGATGATACTCTATGTAAACAAGGAATCAAGATAACACTATTGCGACAATATTCCTGATATGCTTAACCTATTTTTTAAAGATTTATAAAGCAGTGTATACATAGATGCCCCTCCTCCTATATTTTTTTCCACAAAAACAATCTTGTACTGTAAAGAAAGTTTACTGATTGGTCCAAAGTCACTCAGAAATGGTTGAATATGGGTCTCCCCAACACTTTAAACAATAGTTTGTCAGTATGTGTGCACTTCATTTATTCAGAACACATCTATATGCCTGTACCCATATTGATTTTGATGAAGAAATATTACCTAGACTGGGCTTACTTAGGGTCATTTAAATATCAACACTTTCAGCCTATATATGAATGTCCTTTAAAAAAGTGTCTGATGTTAATTTTGGAAATCAACATTTGCATTTATTTTTAAAAGAATATATAGATTCTTGGACAAAACAGATAGGCAAAAATCTGGGTCTTAGTTTGTTACCTTCAGGAAAATGTGAGAGTGGGGATTGAAAATGGCTTGGGAATGAACCTGGAAATTGCAACTGGCAAAGTTCCATGTACTGATCACAATAGTCTTCCCTAGACAAGGGGGCAGAGCAGAAAGCATATCCTCAAATACAGTGTCTCTACTCCCAGTCAGCCACCAGTTCCCTCACCCCAACCATAAGTGTCTTCTAGACAGCTCTCAAACACAAGCAGGATGACTATATTAAAGCATCTGGTTTTATGAATTTATGTCTTACTGTTAATGATATCTAATCATTGGTAGATATTTCAACAATCCGAGCATCTGAGCATTATGAAATAATAAATTTACAAGTGTTTTGATTCTGTTCGATATTTGCAGGTTATTTATTTCTGAAAAATATCCTACTTGACAGAGCTGATAATCAAATTGTACAATGCAGATTAATGGTGATATTAATGGATGATTAAAAGTACCTAGTGTATGTGTCCATGGCGAAGAGTAAATGTTGTACTATCAACTAATATCAACTCAGGATTGGTTCATACTTTGAGAGGAATGTCTGTGATAATTCCATTTTGAAACCAATTGGTGTGTTAATTATTAAAAGTGTAATGAAACAATCAAACGCCAAGGATCTTCCTTTCAAAGTTGCGACTTTCATATGAAAATGAGAATGTTAATTTTTTCTGATTTTTAATTGTATTACTGGGCGTATATATTAACCTCTGTGCTGAACTGAAATGAAAATGACACTGATTTATGTAATGTTATGCACCCACTTTAGAGCTATTATTTGGAGCCTTTGAAATATTGGCAAGTGCTTGGTTTTAAATACCAGAAATTCTACTATACTTCCAGCAGTGAAGGCAGGCAAACATATTTTCATGATAAATAATAAGAAATTAAAATGTGATTTCTGTGCCAATTGCAATAGCACTTAAACACTACTTTATAGTGTTTTACAGCCCATTCTAAGGAGTTTACAGTCAGTATATTGCCCCCAACAATTTGAGTCTCCATTTTACCCACCTCTGAAGGATGGAAGGCTGAGTCAACCTTTAACCTAGTGAGATTTAAACTGCCAAATTGGAGGCAGCCGGCAGTCAGCAGAAATAGCCTGCAGTACTGCACTCTAACCACTGCGCCACCACAGCTCATATGAGAAAATGATCCTTTGAAATAATTTATAATTAAAAATGGGATGGATGGATGGATGGATCTGAAAAGTGGATAAATCCCCTTAATTAGCTAATAAATTATGATACTTTCTTTTCTTTTCAGATTACATTCAAACCAGTAGGTAAAGGGGAACAATGATAGTGATTCCTCAGTCCTACTAAATTAATTGCTAATAAGCCTAGATTTAAATGTTAACCGTAAATTTAGCTGATGAAGCTAGGTGGTGGAAGATGCAATTCACTTCTCCCAATTTTATCTACTGTGATAGTTCAACAGGTAAGGATCAAAGGGCAGAGAGCTGATCTATCAAGATTACAGCTTGTGGATCAGGCTTTACTTACATGCAAATTCTGAATGCATGCTACTTCACTTTGGTGGTCAGGTAGTCGGTATAGGGATTCACCCTATTTCATTACAGTCTACTAAGCAAAAGATATCTTCAAATTTAGATTAACCTAGGCCTTTTATCCTGAGGGATTTTAAATGCAGTTAGTCATCCTGAGTACTCACCACAGCAGAAAAGCAGCCTACAGCTCAATCGATACATTAAACATCCAAAGATGCTGAGCTAATTTTTAGTTTTTCTTATAAGGTCCCTGGAAATAAGTTGTACATCAGTTGTACAGTTCCATGTATGTTCATGGAAATAAGTTGTACTTAAACCAACTGAAACAATGGAACAATTCACATTTAATGGCAAGCACAACTGTTTTACCTTCACATGAGGTTAAGCCACAATGTGATTTGTGCGGGAGGTGTTTTCTCTCTTTCATATATAAATACAAAATCACATCAACAAAATAAACCACGATTATTTTTTGCAATAAACTTCATTTTTTAAAAAAATAATAATGTGTGAATTATGAATCTTGCCTCCAACTATGGAACATTACAAATTACTCTAGAAACTGTCATGTTCTTGTTAGACATTTATTGGCTTCCTCTCTTGTAGATACCTCCCTCTCCCCGCAGTATTGGGAAGTAGGTGACCATTGGCTGAGTATTACATTATTATTTTGCTCATATGTAAAAGTAGCTTTGGACTTGAGGTAATAAACATTGGCTTAATGTTATCTGCAAACCAACCTCTGCCTTCTCTTTTAGCATTAACACACATCAAAAAAGTTTTCATTATTGTTTCATTGAAATACATGTTGGCCATTAAATCAGAGTGTGTGACCATAGTTTGAAGCTGATTTGCATACTGTGCTTCTGAGGGAATTGGATTTGTTATTATTATTGGATTTGTTATTATTATGATGACGAATATTAGTTTGAGCTAATATCCATTCATTATGGAACCAATAATTCTGATAGGAAAAGGAAACCAATTAACTGAATGAAATTATATATTCATTAAACTATAATTATAAACCCGTAGGGGTTGTTTGTAAAACTTACCAAACCAGAAACAAACATAACACTTTATGCTTATTCCTACTTTGCAAATCATGGTCTGCAAGAAATGAGAATTACTGGATTCTTAAGGAGAAGAAAAAATCAAATTGTTCGGTAGGAATATAGACAATACCATTATATTACACGCTTTTATATGCTGAAAAACATGCATTAAAACTTAAGAATACAGGGATAAAAGCAAAATTATAGAACATTTTATTGCTTGTGTAAATAGATTCTAGTAGTATTCTTTTCTCTCTCAAAAAAAGCAGGCAAACTTTCAAGCATCTCTTTCAAAGATATTGATACCTTACTCCACAGCTCCACCTAGGCTTTCATTTCTTTTGAAATGTAGATTCCTGATTAGAAATCATGTTATCTGGTTATCTTCTTTTAAATGAAAAGGTCTGTGCAATTTATGGTAATTCTGGCCTAGAAAATTTACTAGGCTTCCACTGTTATTCATTCATCCTATATAGCAAAAAGTGTTTTAGTCATCTGTATTGCCTGTATGCGTTAGAAGAGTTCACTCTGCACTTTTGTGCGTTTCTATTGATCAGTGTATTTCATGTTTCCCTTCCTAAAAATATTTCATGGACATGATTACCTAACCGAAACATGCAGCTCCAGAATATTAAATAGGGTTGCACGTATTCGGAAACTAATTTGGATCTTGTTAAAATCAATCATACCCCTTCCATGCATTAAATAAAGACAACTTCTTATGAGGCTTTGGGCATACCCCTCCAAAGGTGCCTTTATTTTAAGAGTCGCGTGAACCAGATGAGTAAACTCCTTAAAGAAGCAGCACCCTTTTTTCCCAAGCTCATGCAGGGAGCTTTAATGATCAGGTAGGAGATTCTGTCCTTGTGTAAGGTCTGAAACATTTTCCCCACATCACTTTGGAGGCACAAGCATTAGAAATGTAAGATTTTTCAGAAATATTCAGGATTTTTTCTTTTTCTTTCTTTCTTTTTTGAAAAATGGAAATTACAACAGAAATGTACACAAACACACACACAGAATAAATGTCAGTCTCCCTATGCCCTGAATTCAAGGCCACCGTCTAAACCAAGGGTCTTCAAACTTGGCAAGTTTAAGACTTGTGGACTTCAATTCCCAGAATTCCTGACCTAACGTGACTGGAGGAAGAATTCTGGGAGTTTGAAGTCCATAAGTCTTAAATTTGCCAAGTTTGAAGACCCCTGGTCTAAATTCACTCCGATGCACAACATTCTTTTTTATTTCACTGATTGCTGATATACAAGTAGTACTTAACATATGACTGGTCACTTAACAACCATTCAAAATTACAACGGACCTCCCCAGACCTATGTATGACCTGTTTTCAGGGTTACGTTGATCATACAAGCACAGATGGCCACTCAATTGCACTTTAGGTGCTTGGCAATCAGCTCACCTTTACAGATGTCTGTAGCACCCCACAGTTGTATGGGTTACTTTGTGACTTCCCCCCTGTCCGCCCAGAAATACAAATTACTTCCAATTTCTGTCCAAAAAAACCCACAGGGGGAAAAATAAATTCG